ACGTATGTGCAGCGGACGCAAGTGGACTTGTTCAACTACGTGGTTTTGTGCCTGATGTGAGTCATGATGACACAAATTGAAACAACTATCCCTAGCTGATGTGCTTGTGATGCCGCATCCAATCACCTCTGACAACTGAACAGTCCACATCAGCACCTGGCATGTATGCGTGAGCATGGACACTTGTGCTGCCGTGAAGATAGAGTGTCAGTTTGGAATTCCTCGTTTCGCTTAGGGTTGCCGCCCGATGGCGATGTGTGACACGATGTCTGGACCGCTGAGCATGCATTCGCCTGGGAGGATCAGGGGAAGTGAAGGTCAGAAACTTGACCTGAAGCGCATTGATGCGACCATTCTCCAGTAGCTGAGGCCCTCGGAAGTTGTGTCAAACTGGTGTCTGTGAGGAGTCCGAGCGAATATAGGTCAGAAGCTGACCGAGGTGATGTGAGACGTCTCTTTTCCTGAGACCTTTGTGCAGTCCTTTGTGTCTTGCTCATATTACGTTTGTCGCATGCTCATCGTGTGCATGTTGGGGACATTGGTGCATCGGAGGAGATGATGACAACGCTTGACAACAACTATCCCTAGCTGAGCATGTGGTGATGCACACAACAACTCACCTCTGACAGCTGAGCTTCCGACGGCTTGTTGATGCGTTCTCTTTCGTGCTGTGACGATAGAGTGTCAGTTTGGAATTCCTCGTTTCGCTCAGGGCTGATGCAGCCTGATGGCGATCCGCGACACGTCTGGACCGCCGAGCACGACGCGCACTCCGACGTAGGTCAAGCGATGTTCGCACACTTGAAGCTGAGCCCTTCCTTGGAGGTTCATGGAAGCTGCAAGTGAGCTTAAACCCAGGCACAGTACATCCTATGGGTACTGCTACACCGAGTAGCTGGTAAGCATACAACCCAAGCTGTACCTACCCATGATCATGAACGACCAAGTGACCCCAAACCTCTCAAGCCTTCCCAATCCTGAACCCTAATCCCTCAACCCTAAATCCCGTTGACTTCCATTTTGCCTGCCTGGGAGTTTCACATCTCAAGGAGGGAAGACGCGGCCCTCCTTTCCTCAGAGCTCTCATGACTACAAGCCTTAAACCCAAACCCTAAAAACCTGCCCCTAAGCCCTCAAACCCTAAACCCCCTAAAGCCCTAAATCCCAGCCCCCTACATCCCTATGCCACCAGATTTGCTGAGCCGTCCACCCCGATATGTCCATATAAACCCTAAGACCCTAGACCCTAGACCCTAGACCCTAAACCCTAAACCCTAAACCCTAAACCCCCCAAGCCGTGCGTCTTGGGACAAAGCGTTGCCGCCATGGGCAGCGCCGCCTCCAGCCGATACAAGGCCTTGGGGGCGAGGGGTAAACCCTAAACCCTAAACCCGAAACCCTAAACCCTAAACCCTAAACCCTAAGCCCTAAACCCTTAGCCCTAAACCCTAAACCCTAAACCCTAAATAAACCCTAAGCCCCAACAAACCAGTCCACGGTGGACGCGCACAGGCTGCTTCAGCAGACCCTAAACCCTAAACCCTAAACCCTAAACCCTAAACCCTAAACCCTAAACCCTAAACCCTAAACCCTAAACCCTAAACCCTAAACCCTGAACCCTAAACCCTAAACCCTAAACCCTAAACCCTAAACCCTAAACCTTAAACCCTAAACCCTAAACCCTAAACCCTGAACCCTGAACCCTGAACCCTAAACCCCAAACCCTAAACCTAAACCCCAAACCCTAAACCTTAAACCCTAAACCCTAAACCCTAGAGTAAACCCCAAAATCTGAACCCAAACCCAAGAGCCAGTTTGCAGCTGGTGCTTCCCAAGATTGTCCGTAGACTCCCCGAAGGCAAGCCGATTTGTAGGCAACTGGCGCGGCAAGAAAGACGTCCCCTTAAGTCCAGGTTTTATGAACTGTAGGGTCTAGGGTTTAGGGTTTAGGGTTTCGGGTTCTTGCTGCAGTTCCATACTGGTCGCAATGCCGATAAAGCCCATTGCCGCACACCCTGAACTCTTCAGATTCGATTCCCCGCCGCCGCTGAGTCTCAAGCAGCTCCTTGGGCCTGTCCGGGTAATAACCCGAAGCCCGAAACCCAAAGCCAACCCTAACCCTTCGTGGTAACCCTTCGAGGCGTTTGGGGTTCAGGGTCTAGCTCCAGCTGGCGCGAAGCTTGCTTTTAGGGGGCTGGAAGCTAGGAGACAGCAAAGGCAAAGTGCGAGACAAGGAGGCAATCGTTTGCCCCAACAGTCCAGAAGGTCCCAAATGGGTGTGGCATGGGAAGTCGGACTTGCGCCTCAGCCACAAAGCTGAACCCTGATACCGCTGAAGCCCTCTACCTAAACCCAAGTACTCAACTGGCAACTTAACCCCCAAACCACCCTCTTACCCGAAGTAATTCCCTAAACCCTATACTCCAAGCCCTCAGCACACCCGCCCTACTCGAGCACGCTCCGCGAAGCATGTTGCGCGTCTGGAGCATGGCCGGCGAGGAGTTGGCGGCCGTGCGCGTACAGGAGGGGTGCCAAAAGACGTTTGCCGTCGGTTTTTGGAGCATTTCAGGTGTAGGGTTCTCGGGTTGTTTGCTTTAGGGCTTCAAGGGCATCCAGGGTTTTAGGGCTCTTTTAGGTCGGCCTTGGAAGACTCATCCCGACCCCCCCCCCCCCCCCCCTCCCTACAAGGAGGCGTGGGACGTGCGGTCACTGAAGCGGCGCCTGCACAAGGTCTGCGGCGTGCCGCGCTTCCGGCAGAGGCGGCTTGGGACGTGTTGAGCAGGACTGAGGGTGCTGAGGAGGTTGGGACGGCAGGTTTGGGTTGAATATAAGGGTCCCTTCATAACTATAGCATAATAACCCCCCAAAACCCTACTCTAGTTATTCAGGCCCGTATAGTAACGCGGGCCTGGGGTTTAAGGCGTGGTGGGTTTGGGGTTTGGGGGTTGAGTGTTGCAGCAGGGCGAGCTTAAGCGAAGGCGGGGCTTGACGGTTGCCCTAAACCCTAAACCCTAAACCCTAAACCCTAAACCCTAAACCCTAAACCCTAAACCCTAAACCCTAAACCCTAAACCCTAAACCCTAAACCCTAAACCCTAAACCCTAAACCCGAAGCCCTAATCTGAGGGCGCGCGAGCCCGAGGCCCTTGAGGGGCTCAAGGCCTCGGGGGGTTTCAGCCTCCATCTTCGAGTATGTAAGGCCCCAAACTCCTTGAGCCCAAAACCCTTAAGACCTTCAACTTTTTCAATCCGAAACCCGCCAAAAGCCTAAAAATCCTAGAGCCCTTAACCCTGAAACCCAGAACCCTAAACCCCAATTCCTAAGCCCCAAAGCCCTAAAGACCCTAATGCCCTGAGAAGCGTAGGTTGCTCCACGCCGGGATGGATCTGGAGGACAGGCTGCCAACTGGCTCTTGGGTTTAGGGTTTAGGGTTTAGGGTTTAGGGTTTAGGGTTTAGGACCACCCTATGTTATTGCATGGGAGGGCTTACAGCACCAATCTCGTTGCACATGTCAGGAGATGCTGGTTTACCAGCAGAGCAGCAAACGCATGCACGGCCTGTAGCTCTATGCTGCAGCCTTGTCGGCACAGGAGTTTCGCAGCTCTCGGCAGGTTTAGGCTAGCGCTCAAACGGATTCGCAGGCATCCGTGCACAATATTGGGTCTGCCGATAAGGCACAGTGCGAGACATCCCCTGCAGAAGCTGCTAAGAGATATCTCGAAGCAAGAACCTTTGACGTTTCCACCAGTCGGAAAAAGTCAGACTTTGCGATTCTGGGAGATTGCAATCAGATTGGGAGCCTGTGTCCCAAATTCTTGCTGACATTCAACTCATTCTTGACATCTCTTTTTCTGTTGCGGCCTCAGCCTACAGTGTTGCTTGTGAGAAGGCTTTCGGCGTTCGGTGCCGGACAGTGCAGTCATCGGTGAACGCTTGTTACAATCCATATCCATATCTTTTGACTACCACCACTTTGAAGGTCAAGTTGAAAGGAGTTTGACTGGTTATGACTAGGCTAACAGCCTGGGCTCTCCGTTTGGCTCCAAGCAAGTGGTGAAGGTTGACGCGTTGTCAACTATGAACAGAGTGCGGACACGACCTTCGCGACGTACCTTCAGGAGACGGTTCCGCAGATGGTTTCTGCGCAGAGCACGCAGGACTTCTTACTGGAGCCAGCTTCTTCTGTGCATGTGCAAGATTTTCTTTCTGGGTCTCAGATGCGTGTTTTTCTGGTGCGTGGAGCAAGCGTACAGATTTGCGGCCAGAGATGGGCCGACAGTTTCTGGGCAAAGTATAGGCGCGTCTTCTACATCCACGCCAATTAGACGGGGCAGTGTTTCTGACAGATCTGTACCATTGCATATTGACCTTGGTCCCTCTTGGCACGAGTTGGACCAGATGACGCTCAACAACCTCACCCTAAGAGGCCTTCGTGTCTGGACGGCAAGCGTGGAGGCCTGCCCACATCGTGTGCAAGCTTGGTCTGACAGCCTGCGCGCCAAAGCTGCGACCCTGCTGCAAAATCGTCGCTGGCCTGAGTTTGTTGATGATCTGCTCATGACCGCTGCCAAAGTTGGTTGCTTACTTGAAGCTGGCGCTGTAGAACATACGCACCTGGCCGGTATGCATGTCCTCACGCGTAGCCTTGCTGACTGGATTTTGCCTCCTGGGGCTCGCGCAAAGCGACCCACGAGCCTGCAAACAGATGTCTTCTTCTTTGTTTTGGGTGCCCTCAAGCTCTTGCTTAAAACTAGATGGCAAGCCCTTAAAGGGAAACGTAGACGAGCCCGTGCGTTATCTCGCTGCAAATGCTTGCCGCCTACCGTGCATGAAGCTATAGCCGCCACATGCGGTTGCTGGGACGTCAACATGTTTGAGGACGTGAGTTTGTTCATTTGTTGGCAAGTCTTCGGCTTGCTCAGCTCGGCGCCCGGACATGCAGTGCTGTACATGATGAGCAATGGGTTTTTCGACTACCTAGGTTCCACTAAGTACAACTTAAAGAGAGCTAAGAGCCATGCCGCAAGCCCTATGACGCGCTGTTATCAGCATTTGCAAGAACATCGCAAGGCCTTGTTGCAGAAAGAACCTGTGTTGAACCACAAAGTCCGCCTGTTTAAGACTGTGCATGCTGCTGACACGATGTTCTGGATTCTTGCCACCGGGGAAGAAAGCTACATCCGTACGCTTGAAACTGCCAGCATAAGCTGCTGGCAACCGAAAGCAAACACGTCGGCAATCGGACCGCGAAACACAGCGTGCCGTGCCAAGACACGATGCCGACCTAGGCGTCGCAAGTGCGCGGTGCGCAATGCGGACTGCGTCCAAGCCCAGCAAGACCATTTAAGTAGGGTTGCTAGGCGTAGGCTAGCCCCTTCTCCCCTTCCGTTTTGCCTTAGTAGGTCCTTACTCAAGCTTCCCTACAAAGATGCCTATACCCTAGCATGCAGGAGCCTCTTGCTTGAAGGCGGGGGTTTTGGGCCTGTAGATATCGGCAACGATAAGTTTCAGACTCTTCTTGTCAGATATGTCGCTGATGCTCAGTACGTGTGCTGGGACAGCCTTTGCTGCCGGTTTCAGTCCCGTGTTCGTCACGCTGGCGAAATGGCCATTGTGATTGGCCTTGCGTTGCGCAAGTTACCCAGCACAACCGCTGCCACTCGGTGCCGGAAACGACTAGACTACAAACTTCGGCAGTTTGGGGAGCGCACATGCCGACGCACATATGTTCCCTGGCCCCCTAAAGTGCCTACCTCCGTGTTCCATAAGTCCATTGCTAGTGTCCTCCACAGTGCCCGGCTTAGCCTTTCCCAAAAGTGGATACTGTTCAGTTACTCGCCTGTCCGTGGGAAAACTGCCAAGCGCTCGGACTGTTGGCGGTACAAAAGCGTAGCAAAGGACATCCGTGATGAGCAGCTACTCAGCTGTCCACTTCAAGTGCTTAGGCCTTCGCCGGAGGATTGTCGAGACATGCGCAGGGTAAAGCTGCATTGGGGTGTTCCGCTAGGTTCCAAGCCGTCACAGGACAGAGCAGATGCTTTAAAGGTTCTTAGTCATATCGTGAAAAAGGTAGGGGTGAAGCTTACTTGGGATATGAGCCGCCATATCCAAGGGTTCTTTGCCACCTTAGTGCATCCCGAACGTGAGCAACTGGAGGTGCAATATGACACATGTTTTCCCTTACACAACGCTACACACGTACATGTGCAAGAGGATAAAGACCGTAATGCAGCCTGGGTTCTCCCTAAACGGTTGTATCAGCAATGGTGCGTTTTCATGTTTCGCCAAGACAACGACCACTGGCTTCCGGTCAACGCATGCGTTCAAGGCATTGTTGAAGAGTACCGTTGCTTGCACGAGCAGTGTCTCCCACAACACTTGCGCCATTTCGCAAAAAAGTCTAAATGGGCCCACTACAGCCTTCCGTATGCATATACCACGCTTAAGCAAAAGTGCTTCCAGTCCGGAGTGGGACAGACCTGCAGGAAGGCTGGACACAGCTGCTTCCGACGAATCATTGCCTGGTCCACTCACCCAGCCAAATCGCTATATCGAGGAGCTTCCCGAGCTATCAGCGGCATGATCGCCGCATTAGGCGCAGGCTTTGAAACTGCAAACTTGCACACTGCCATCCCTGACTTGAGACGTGCAGTGGCAAGACTGCGCAGCAGTTCTGAGCCGTGCGTGTGTGCCCGTTGCAGCAAAAGCAAAGCACAGATCTGTGTCCAAGTGCTAGATGCTGCACAAATGTATGAAGAACTGCCTGTTGACAGGGTTCTTCTAGCAGCGCAGGAGTTCCAAAAGCTTCTCCAGGAAAATAATGACGCTGCTGGGATAGCCGTGACTAGGACAAAAAGGTTGCACACTTGGCTGTCAAAGTGCGCTGGACATTTCAACCAGCGTGCCAAGATCTGGCGCTGGGCCGATATTCTCACTGTGCTGACGCTGGCCCTGTCGCAACCTACTGTCCGTTTAGGAAGGTTTCTGTTTAAACAGGTCCGGGGTGTGCCTATAGGAGGCCACTGTAGTAAAGCTATTGCCTCCCTGGTTTTAGCTTTTGACGAGTTTAAATGGGTCAAAAACAAACTTGCACAGGTTCAGCTTGGTTTTCTGCCGGATGAAACCTGGGAGTTTCACGAAGTCGCTGCTTTTGTCCGCTACGTTGACGATGTTGCCACCGCGTCAAAAGTGCTTTGTGACGACTGCCTCCTAGACCTCGTTGATACCATTTACACTCCCCCGATCAAGTTTGAAGCTGCGCCAAGTAGTAAGCTGGGTGTCCCTTTCCTTGATATTTGGATAGTGCCGCATAAGAGCTGACCTCGCAGAGGCCGACTGGCGAGATCAGGCAGGTAAACACGCTCCCGCCAAATTCAGACTTAAGCCCTGGAGAGGATTTTGCAGTTTTGATTTGTGTGAAGCCCGTGGGCTCGTCGCTTCAAAACTTGTGCGACTTAGGACGCTGCAGTTGCCCCAAAATGAGTTGCGAAAAGCTGTTTCCGCCGAGCTTCAGCTTTGGATCCTCTCAGGATATCCTAGGCAGATCATTGAAAGGTTGTGGACACATGCCCATCATTTCCCAGCAGCAAGCAAGTGTGCCAGAAATCAGCTCCATGCTTGGGCTATGCAAAGCAATCTCCCTGACAGGGTTGCGTCGTACTGGGAGTCTTGAATGCCGGGGTTTTTGTTCGTGTACCTGTGTGGTTTCGGTTTTAGGGTTTCTGGCGCTGAGTTGAGCTCCCCGTGCTGCGCTTGCTGAGTGCTCCGCCTGCAAGCTGCGGTGCTCTAACTGGCCAGTTTGACTGTCTTTTTTGCCTGCGCTGCCATGGGCGGTAAAGGCAAAGGCAAGGGCAGCTGGTACAAAGGCAAAGGCTACCACAGAGCAGGCCCTTACTCGTACCAGCACGGCCATGACCTTGGCGCTACAGTCGGATGGACCTTCCAAAATGCGGTCCAAGGGGCCCTGCAGCAAGTGATGAGCCAAGGCATCCAGGGAGTGCTTGACCGTGCCCTCCAGACCGGCGGTTCATCGCCTGCAGCGGCGCCGCAACCTGCTACCTTGCCTGCGAAAGCCGGAGGGAGCCTTGCCTCCTCCATCTTGCAGGCTATCACCGGGAAGCAGGCTCCAGTGGAGCAACCGCCAGCTGTTACTGTCGAAGCTACCCATCCGCAAGGGACAGGTGCAGCCAGTAGTGGCGACAAGGATGCACTCATGCTCAAAATGATGGATATGCTCACACAGCAACAGAAGCAGCACTCCGACCAGATGAAACTCTTGGTGGAAAAAGTCACGCATGAAAATTGGGCGCGTGAGCAGGAAGACGTTCCGGAGCCAGTAGCCGGGCATCTTGAGGAGGCTGCCGCCTTGGAAGCAGCCATTGCTGAGAGCCAGGCTCGCTTGCAGGAGATTCAAGGCAGAACCAAGCCTGCCACCACCGCCTCAGCAAAGGCCAGTCCAAAGGCGGCGTGCTCGGCCGCTAGCAAGCAGACGCTGCTGCATGATGCTTTCTTGAGAAGCAGTGGCACGGGACGTAACTGACTATCTTGTGTGATGACCGGTGGCATGGGCAGTCCCATCTTAGATGCAGTTAGCATTTGGATGCTGTCACTGTTCCTGGTTTCTGTAAGAGCAGCGGTGTTGCTGTCACTCCTTCGCTTTGTGTGGAGCGAGACTTGCCAGCATGCACTTGACTCCGTGCTGCACTGGGTTTTGGGCGCTGCGTTCAAGGTATGCCTTGAAAACATGCAAAGCTGGATCATGCCACGCGAGAGCTTTGATGCTACTGGCATGCTCAGTCTGCTACGGCAAAACCACAGCAGCGCGGATGACGCCACTAAAGAAACCACCGGTGGCAGTAGCTGGGCGGCCCACCTCTCACATGAGTCAGTCCTCTCAAGCCCTTTGTTCACAGGAGTGCTGTGCGTGATGTTTCGCACAGTCGCTCCCAAATTAGCACGCATCATTGTTAGATGAAAGCTGTTGACCACCCTATGTTATTGCATGGGAGGGCTTACAGCACCAATCTCGTTGCACATGTCAGGAGATGCTGGTTTACCAGCAGAGCAGCAAACGCATGCACGGCCTGTAGCTCTATGCTGCAGCCTTGTCGGCACAGGAGTTTCGCAGCTCTCGGCAGGTTTAGGCTAGCGCTCAAACGGATTCGCAGGCATCCGTGCACAATATTGGGTCTGCCGATAAGGCACAGTGCGAGACATCCCCTGCAGAAGCTGCCAAGAGATATCTCGAAGCAAGAACCTTTGACGTTTCCACCAGTCGGAAAAAGTCAGACTTTGCGATTCTGGGAGATTGCAATCAGATTGGGAGCCTGTGTCCCAAATTCTTGCTGACATTCAACTCATTCTTGACATCTCTTTTTCTGTTGCGGCCTCAGCCTACAGTGTTGCTTGTGAGAAGGGTTTAGGGTTTAGGGTTTAGGGATTGCGGGCTTTAGGGCGTTTTGGGGGTTTGGGAGGACGACTGCAGCCTGCGAATGCCTTGGGACCTTCAGTTGGTCCTGGTGCCCTTCTCCTCCGACCCCGGCCTGGGCAGTGTTTTTCTTCGTTTCTGTTTGTATTAAATGAGTATATATATATATATATATGATATTATATGCTATCTATAATACATGACAGGATCTTACATCATGTTTGAGTTGTTGTTTTATCATATTATAATCAAAATTTCATTTGTGTTCAAGCGTCTATTTGTCTAACGTTGTTGTTTTGAGATCGTCTTCTCTGGTGTCCTTTATGACTGAAGGCTTATTTTCGGCAAGCTGGTTTTGAGGTGTCGGGTCGTGTTTAGAGGTTTGAGGCTTCAGGCAGTTAGGGGGGGGCCTTATGGCTGCAGGAGGTAAAGTTTAGGACAGAGCCCCCGAAACCGCAAGCCTCATAAACCTCTAAGCCTGCAGACCCTAAATCCTAGACCCTAGACTTTTAACCTTAAACCCTTAACCCCTAAACCCTAAATCCTGACATCCACCTCAAGAAGCGCCTCCCCCCCAACGCCTGCATTTCGGGCTTGGGCGGGTGGGTATTTATCTGGAGTAATTGCGTGACTAGTGAATGCTTGGACTTGAGATGCTGAACCCTAAACCCTAAACCCTAAAGCCCCAAACCCTATACACCCTAAGCCCCAAGGACTCGGGGTGGCTCCAGCATCTCTTCACCCGCGCGGTGGGCGACGGCGACGCCACCATGGTGGAGGAGCCCGCGGGCGTTGTTGGTTGCGGGGGCGGGGGGTTTAAGGTTCAGGGTTTAGGGTTTAGGGTTTAGGGTTTAAGGTTTAGGGTTTAGGGTTTAGGGTTTAAGGTTCAGGGTTTAGGGTTCAGAGTTAGGGTTGT